GATCTGACACACATAATCCACATTTCAGCTTCTTTTGAAAAGAGACAGAAAGATGGTGCAACAAGATTTACAAACATCGGGTTCACATTTCCATCCAGGTACAGAGATTGACAAGAGCTGTTGAGAGCTGTGTTCAGTATGGCACAGAGGCTCAAGTCCAACCTGTCAGTATGAAGTGATCATGTCTACCAAATGACACTTGGCAAATTCTACAGACACTTTTCCTTGTCACAACTGGAGGAGCTATTGGTGGCTACTGGGTAGAAGCCACAGGTATTGGACAACTCACTCCCAACAACAAAGAACATGTAATCAGAAATGTCCACAGTACCAAGGTTGAGAAATCCTATACTGGTTAAACACTGCTAATCTGAAAATTTTGAAATGTGACACTTTTTGAATGTCATGTCAGGACTTTAAAAGTTTTTGATTTCAAGTATTGCATTTCACATTTCAGATTCTTGGATTAAGTATATTCATCTTGTAAAGTCTAGACAAAATATTTCAAAATCCAAAAAGCCCTGAAATCTGAAACACTCCTGATCCCAAACATTTCAGACAATTGGATTCCCATCTGTACTAGAGTGTTAAAATAGAGTGGAATTATACATTTTTGTCATGGTTAAATTAGCCTTAAGAATGAGAGGAGGAAAAGACAGAACTCTGTAAGATGAATTCTGGAAACTCTGTAACTCTCTCAAGTATCCTTCTATCATACTTCTTCCAGCAGATGCTACAATAAAGCCAGGAGGATTTAGACTGATAAGCACTTAATCTTGAGTGAACCTGAGTATGCTTCAAGTAGTGTTGTGCAGTTGCTCAAGAAGAAATTGCCAGCTTATCTGGATTTATAATGCATTTAAACAGTTTTTAATTACTTCATATTTCCAATTTGTAGAATCTGAAACTTAATAAGAATTGCTGGAGGAAACAAACAGCATGACAAACAAAAGAGATCAGCATAGACTTCCCCTGCCCTCTACCCTCTCCATTTTTCTTACTTGTAAACTATCCATTCAATCACAGAGTCAAGTAAGCCATGGCACACATTGTAAAGGAAAGAGAGGATGTGGTTGAGTTAAATTTCCTCAGAAAAACATGTTTGTGTTTTTCATGTTTTTCAAAAAAGTAGAGAGGAAGAGCAAAACATATATTTGTTAAGTTCTGTCAACATCAAGGTACAATTTTTCTTGTGACAAGGAGCTTTGATGTACTAAATGTACCTCAAAGAGCATCTGTCACTTCTGTATGGCTAATAGGAAGGTATTTTACGCCAGGAAAGGAGCCACTTCTAGGGGGCTTTCACCCTTCAGCTGAAACTCCTACCTGTGGATTCAGTCCATAGTAGAGCAAGTAGGAGAGTTTTGTGTGCTATAGCAAAGGAATCCAGAAAACGTCATTAGTATAAGAAAAGAATTACAGGCCACATCTTATTTTTCCCTTAAAGACTTCTCTTGAGCCTTCAGTTCTGAAGAATTTCACAAACTGGAATAAAAAATTGAATTTAATCAGGCCCAGAGGTCAATCCCCATGACAGACAAAAAAATGAATTTAAATCTATTCTATGCACTTGGAAGTCTTGGTGTGAATTAACTACAGGATTGTTCCATCTATCCCTTCTCAAACTAACATGTGGGTTACTGTAAGGAAAGGTGACATGGAAATACAAAAGGAAATAATTATACCCAAAGTTTCATAACATCTCTACACACACACACACACACACACACACACACACACACACACACACACACACACACACACACACACAATCTACCATCATTAACAGAGCACAATGTATTGCCTCCAACAATTTGGTTAATTAATAACTAGTCAAGAATGAAAACTATGTCTCAAAGACAAAAATGTTAAGAACACTATAAAATACCATATAATAGAATTCAACAAATGACCTACTTTAAAAAGCTCTAAAAACAACTTCTTATGTAAGAGGTCAAAGATAAGTCCTAGTTCAGCAATAAGATTTCATCTGGGTTAGACAATGACAGTAAAACAATTTACATGTGTAGGATTGCTAACAATTATTCTACAGAATCTTTTGAATACCCAGTCCAATTAAAGACAATACATTGAAAAACAAATCCACCATTTGCTATAAACAATCCATTTTCTAAGGAAAAGGGAATACATACAACAAGCCATTTTTTCTCATGGAGGATGAAAGTCACCTAACCACAATGTGGCTGTAAGTTTTCAGTGCTGTTTTTCTTACCTATAAACCTAAATCTAAGGTATTGTCTAGTTGTACAATTCCAGTTATAGTATTCCAATCTTAACAGGACTTCAGAAATTTATATTGCTTCTCTTGAAATATTTTTTTAAAAATAACAAAAGATACACATCTCTTTTCCTTATTACTAGATTAAAATTTCCGTGAGTTAAGTGTGGGGACTGCAGGTACAGGTAAAGGGGAACATCACATAAATGAAAAACAAATCATGTTTTCTGTCCAGATTGATGTAGGTAGGTATCTCAGAGAAGGAAATCCATTACCATTAATAAATTCAATTATTTCCTTATTAAACCATAATTAAAACAAGCCATGATAATTCCTCAGAGTTATCATTCTGGGTAGTGTCACCAGAGGGTATGCCTTTGGCTTAGAATTTAACCTTTCTTTGAGAGAATTCATATGGGAAAACTTGATAGTGAGTTTGCTCCTGGAAATGAAAACAGATGACTTGTGAAGAAAAGGAAACATTAGTGGGTTTCATAGTCAAAAATAATTCTCAGTCCTTTGTAAAAGTATTTTTAATTCTACTATATATTCAAAAGGAAAATGAATTATTTTCTCAAAAAGGTATTTCCTAGTTATTTTTTCTAAAAGAATATTTCCTAATTATTATCCTGTGTGTGTGTGTGTGTGTGTGTGTGTGTGTGTGTGTGTGTGTGTGTGTGTGTGTGTGTGTGTGTGTGTGTGTGTGTGTGTGTGTGTGTGTGTCGTAGAGCTTGAACTCAGGTCCTGGGCTTTGTCCCTGAGCATTTCTTGTTCATTGTTCAAAGCTAAGCATTCCACTGCTGAGCCACAGCTCCACATCTGGCCTTTTTGGCAGTTAATTGGAGATACGAATCTCAGGAACTTCCCTGCTTAGGATAGCTTCAAACTATGATCCTTAGATCTCTGTTCCTGGGCCACTAGCGCTTGTCCCTAAGATATTTTTATGGTACAGGTATTCTCTAGATGCAGGACTATCCAAAGCTGTTGCATAATCAAAAAAGTATTTTCTTCGGTCAATCAAAACTTACCAATCTCTTTGTTTGAACTCTTTGTTTATTACAGCACTACTCATAATAGCCAAGGTGTTAGATGAGTTCCCGTTCTCAATAAAAGATGCATCGGTAAAGATAATGTGGTATATACACACAATGTAATATTACTCAGCCATAAAAGGAAAGGAATCTTGTCACTTACAACCACAACTAATCCCAGAGGATGTTATAATAAGGAAGGGAGACAGAAAATCAATTATTGTATATATTATATGTTCTTTGTATATTCTGTATACACATATATAGAATATGTTATATACATATACATTGTATATTCTCATTCATATGTGGAAGTTAGAAAGGTTGATCTCATAGAAGAAAAGAAGAAAATTGTAAAAAGAAAAGAGTAAAAATTAAAACTGAGTAAAGTCATAGAAGAAAAGAGTAAAACGCTGGGAAGTGAGTTTAGCTAGTAAGAGGTTTGTTAACATGTCTATCATTACATCCAGATAGAAGAAGTCCTGTGTTCTGTAGTACAATAGGTTAAATAAAAACAATAACAGTATATTTCAAAATGCCTAGAAAGGATTTTGAATGCTCTCAACATAGGGAAATGAGAAATAGTTGAGCTGATAGTTATATCAATCACTCTGAATTGATCATTGCACGTTATTTTCATGTGCAGAAATATTACACTGTACCTCATTAGTATGTACAATTATTACAATAAAAAATAAGCTAGGAGGCTACAATGCTTGATAAGAAATGTACTCATTATTTTGTCCATGTAATTGTAACCCCTCTATACAGTATTTTCACAATAAAAAAATAAAATAAAAAAATAAGCTAAAATTAATATAATTCTCTCTAAAAGTATATAAACCCCCAACCTCCCCAGGATGTAGCATGCCACATTTTTACATTTTTTTTTGCCAGACCTGGGACTTGAATTCAGGGCCTGGGTACTAACCCTGAGCTTCTTTTGATCAAGACTAGCACTCTACCACTTGAGCCACAGCACCATTTTTTGCTTTTTCTGTGTATGTGGTACTGAGGAATTAAACTCAGGGTATCATACGTGCTAGGCAAGCACTCTACCACTAGGCCACATTCCTAGCTTATATGCCACATTTTTAACCCTGCTGAGTCACAGATGCTACTCATAAGGTCAAAGAGACTTTAGTTTCCTATTATTATAAGCACTTTAAAAATTACAATCAATCATGCCTCTGTAGTCTGTTCTGCACTTATCTCGCTTTGGATGGAACGGCGCCACAATGTTCCTTTATTCTTAACAGAAGAGTACCTCCGATTACTGGCATCTGAAAATATCTAAATCTTTCATTTAAAAAGCAATTGGGCAACAAGAGAATGGTTCAGAAGACTGTACTGTGAATTTTTTATTTGCTATATCACAAAGTAATCCAATATCCACCCAGAATGTTTGTGTTTAAGATTAAAATTAAATATTTTAAGGTAACTAATATCCAAATGCAACTTTAATTCAGCTAGGCAGCAGATATTCTCTTTTTAAAAATTTTTTTTTCTTTTTTTACCAGTCCTGGGCTTGAACTCTGGACTTGGGCGCTGTCCCTCAGCTCTACAGCTCAAGGCTAGCACTCTACCACTTGAGCCACAGTGCCACTTCTGGCATTTTCTGCTTATGTGGTGCTGAGGAATTGAACCCAGGGCCTCATGCATGCAAGGCAAGCACTCTACCACTGAGCCACCTTCCCAGCCCCAGATATTCTCTTTTAGCCGACACTCACCTCTCCCGAGGAACAGCAAACCAGTACTCTGGCTGCTTTCTTCGTTTACCATATTGCTGGGCCATGGTGGCAGTTGGGGTAGCAAAGGATTTCCTCATTGGTTTCCCAACTTTGATGCACAAAAACATGGGTGGGGTCTTGCTCTTTTCTTCTTTCGAGGGAAGTATATCTGAAGCATATGAACATTCTTCCTCAGTAACAACAGCATGAGTGACATTGGAAATTTCAACTCACAAAGAGTAAAAGCTAGCCTTTCCCAGGGATAGAAAGTCCAAAACTATGGAGCAACATCCTTTGGCTACATTACTAATAACTTTTTTAGACCTTCTTTAGCACAGTAGAAAAAAAAGATTTGGTTATTTCCAATTGGTCTATATCTCATGTAACACACAAGATACTACATACTAGAAATAAGCAGAAAAATCAATGCAACAGCAATAAGGTAGAAATCAGACAATTCACAAGTACATATTAAAAGAACAGCAACCAGGACCCCTAAACCAGGACCCCATAATCAAATTTAGTTTAGAACTGAAAATTTTCAAAAGCAATTGATATTTCTTTTGACTTAGTGATACACAAAAAAAGGCCTGTTAGGTGGCTCATGCCTACAAGCCTAGTTGCTTGGGAAGCAGAGATGGGAAAAATCAGTTTAAAGTCAACTCAGGCAAAACACCAACAGAACCACACCTCAACCAACAAACTAGACACAGTAGTCAACATTTGTAATCACAGCTACTTGGAAGCACAGATGAAATCACAAATAAAGTTCCTATCTAAAAAAATAAATAAAGCAATAAAAAAAAGGCTAGGTGTGGGGACTTGTAGGAGAGTATTTGCCTAATAAGCATGAGCTCATACTCTAGTACGTAAAAATAAAGTAGGAAAAGAAAATTACTTGAAAGATTAAAAAAAAAAAAAGTCAGGACTAAAGGTATGGCTCAAGTTGAAGAACTTCTATCTAACAAGCATAAGGTCCTGAGTTCAAACCCTAGGTCCACCAAAAGAAGAAGAGAGAGAAGAGGAAGAGGAGGAGGAGGAGGAGGAGGAGGAGGAAGAGGAGGAGGAGGAGGAAGAGAAATAACTTCTGAAATAGCTGTATTTTATAATTCAAGTTCTGAGTTTTATAACTCAATTCTGTATTTTATTATTCTGTATTTTATAATTACAATAAAAGTTCCAGAACAGATACAGTCTATAAATTTGTATCCTATTGAGTGAGAAAACATTGTTCTCAAATAATTATACTACTTTTATTATTACATGTGCAAGTTCTAGAAGCGTGAATCTAAAAATATTAAAGGACATCTTACCTTCAATGGGAACCTGAATTCTCTTTAACAGCCACAACTGAATCTCAGATTTATTATCCATTTGGGCACCTTGGCAACTTTTATCCAGAGCAGATTCCAAAAATGGATCTAGAGACTCTTTATCTTTGATCACATTTTCTTCTGTGTCCTTGTCCAATCTGAGTGGCAGGGGTTCTCTTTCTTTCAGGCAGGCCTTTTCTGTTTTTTTATTGCCCTCAGTTGGCGAATCTCCTTCCTGGAGAAGAGAACTGCTCAGGGTGATGTCTATTCCCACTGGTTCCACACAGTTGCCATCACTTAATTCTGCCTTTTGAACATTTTCGGGTAACTGGGACCCTTCTCTACTCTTGTTTAGGTAATATTCAATGAGCTTAACTTTATCTAGATCTTCATGTATGTTCAGTGGTTTTTCTACCTGGCTTTCTGGGGATCCAGACTGCTTGTCCACTTCTGGCATTATGTCTTGCTTCTCACAGGTTTCTATGTCTAAGGTCCCCTTCAATTCAGCATCACTCTCTGGTCCTGAAAAGTCCCGGGATGACCGTAACTGTGGTTCTACAGCCGAATTGATTACTTGTGGTGGTTCAGACTTCTTTTGCTTTTCTGGGTCAACTGCAAGGAGTTTCTTTGAAGTGCCTCTTTTGCTCATTCCACTCTCAGTTTGGGAAGAAAGCTCTTCCAAGTCTACAAAGTCATCATCTTCCCCCAAAAGGGAGTTTTCTTTGGGTGCAGAATCAAATGCGGTATGTGTGTCTGAAGGTGGCTTACTGAGCTGAGTCACTAGGGGAGATCCACTCCTAGTCTCCCTAGAGGGTTCCCGTTTCTTTAATTTCCCTGAGAGAGGGCTGCTTGAAGGCTTTGTGTGGGAGTGTTCTGTGGACTCCTCCAAAGAGCCTGCGGATTTGGAATCTGAAGCAATGGTTCTCTCTCCATTCTGCTGTCGTTTTTCCCTATTGATGGATTTGAACTTACTGAATGGGTTGATATCTTTTTCTGAAGCTAGGTCTTCCCATTCTCCAGGCCTGTACAGAGGACAAAGATCCTGAGGTAGGTCACTGTTGGGGCAAAAACGGTGGGTGCACATGGAATGTTAAAATAAAATAAAAAACAAGATGGAGGAAAGGCAAAAGCAAAACAAAACAAAAATACACAACAACTTAAAGTTATGTTATAATGACTTAAGAATAAAAAATGATCTCTAGAGGTTGAATTAAAAATGAAACATAAATCAACTAAAGGAAATGGCAAATGAACAAACCAGGTGAACTGCATATTCTACTAGAAGCACATGAGTGGAGATTTGGACATGATACATGAACATGCAGATGTTACCCAGAAGACTTTTCAATATGAGACAATAATGTTTCTGATTTTTATGAAGGAAAGGATAAAGGAGAGGAAATATATCAGTCCATTAAGTATTCAAAACTCTGCCTTTTTATAAATCATTGAATAAGCCAACCATATTAATTCTTAAAGACTTCATAACTACTTATTTGTTGTCTACAATTGACTGACTTTTAGCTGTATTTTTGGTTTCCTGGCTTAAAACTGGATGCTTGCAGTTAGGATAAAAAGCCCACTATTCCCAAAAAAGATGAGAGAATTAGCTTTTAAGGAAATTTTTAGGGAAAAGTAAATCTTAAAAAGCTCTTACCTATGATAATGAGTTTAAATTTTTTAAACTTTAAAAAATTTTGTAACAATACCACTTTACTTTGACAATTGATTTATCACTTTCTTACTAGGAGACAATCATTTTTCCTTAGTAACACAGATGTGAATTATGTGTTGCAATAAACACACCTTTCCAAGCTCCAAATAAAATGGTCAAAATAAATTGTCAAGAACATACATGTTTTAAACCATGATTGGAAGTATCAGGAGTAACCCTGCGTTTTCATTTACCGTTGGTTGGTTCAGAGAGATATAAGATCACCTTTGAAATATAACAACTCAATTTCATAAACCATTTTATTTTCTATTCAGATCAGATTATTTTCAAGAACTATGTTATTATTCTGACTATAAAATAAATGATCATGGCAAAACAATGAAGCATCAGGCAGTTTCTCATGTCATTCCCTAAAGTTATTTTCATGTGCATAGAACATCTAAGATTTTTCCAATATTAAGTAAAAATCTATGCAATTGATAGACTCTCATACGGGCCTTAAAGTGCTTCTTTAAAATTATCACTCATTGTTGTTCAACAAATACTCACTGAGCCATATTCCAAAATACCATTGTGACTAAGTATTTCTCCAAAGGTGTTTCATATCAAAATGTTCTGCCTAGCTGGGCCCCGGTGGCTCACACCTATAATCGTAGCTACTCAGGAGGCTGAGATCTGAGGATCGTGGTTCAAAGCCAGCCCAGGCAGGAAAGTCCATGAGACTCTTATCTCCAATAAACCACTCAGAAAACCGGAAGTGGCTCTGTGGCTCAAGCAGTAGACCGCTCACCTTGAGCTGAAGAGCTGAGGGACAGTACCCAGGCCCAAAGTTCAAGCCCCAAAACCGACCAAAAAAAAAAAGAAAAGAAAATGTTCTGCCTGACCCTGCACATCCCAGAGATTGAAAAGATGCTTTGGCTCTAGAGTCAAATAACAGTCCCATGGAGCAAAATCTCCATATTGGTATATTCAAGGCTTTCAGAGTTCTGCTTCATAGCCTTCATTAATAAGCAAAGCTGTCTTCCACGAGCACCTGAGAGCCCCTTTCTCCCTGCTTCCTCCCTTATGGAGCCTGACCCTACAAAGAATGCATTCTTCACAGTTAGTTGTTATTAGCCTTCTCGGTTAACTTGTCTACCTCTCCCTTTTTGTTCAGCTACCTAATCCATGTTGCCAGTTCCCTAATTGGGACTCATTTAACCAACTGCTTTTTCTGCATTGCAGCTGCTGGGCACTGCTAGGGCAAAGTACAGAGTAATGTCAGCTGGTGCAATGTTTACTAATGTTTTTTTACACTTATCAAAGTACCTAATGATGATCAATAATCTCTTCAATTGCTCTGTTCCTACTGATTGTGGCAGCTAGAGTCACAAAATATTCCATGCGCCGGGCGCTGGTGGCTCACGCCTGTAATCCTAGCTACTCAGGAGGCTGAGATCTGAGGATCATGGTTCAAAGCCAGCCCGGGCAGGAAAGACCGTGAGACTCCTATCTCCAATAAACCACGAGAAAACCGGAAGTGGCGCTATAGCTCAAATGGTAGAGCGCTCGCCTTGAGCTGAAGAGCTGAGGGACAGCGCCCAGGCCCGGAGTTCAAGCCCCACGGCCGACAAAAAAAAAAAGAAAATATTCCATGCATAAAAAAAATACAAAACCTAAAGGTGAGAACAGGGATTTTACACACACTATCTCTCAAAATTTCTATGCATTGCAATTCATTTCTCCCATAACTTTCTTTCCCGTTAAGGTTTTTTTAAATCATTGATGCTATCATTTCTACTGCTCTTTTTTTTTTTTTATTTTTAACTTTACTACACAAAATTTCTGCCTTGAAATCCATATCCCCAAGAATCCCTTGGCTCCTATAAATGTCCTCACTTTTAAATCTAACTTAATTCTCTCAACAGCTCCTTGTTTCTCATTAAAAACAAAAGAAAAGGAATAGCTCTTACGATGGCAAGGCATCTTTGATCTTCATGTGGGAGATGTCATTGTAGAGGGCAATGGAAACAACCTCTTCCATGGGGCAGATGAGGCCATACTCCTCACACCCATTTTCAATAACCAGGGGATCAGACTTGTGAGGATCAAACATGATGTTGTTAGGAGTGACAATCATGACACCTCCAACCACACCCTGCAGAAGAAACAGATAGGACAGAATTACTCCAGGCATAAAAACTTTCTGCTACGACCACAAAGGCATTAATTAATTCATATTGCTACTTCCATGGCTTTGTGAATCATGGTATCCTATGTGATAATCACTTTCTATGAAAGCGGAACAAGCTGAAAGAATGCAGTGCTAGGTGCTGGGTTCTGGATGGTAAACAGAGTAAACCCACTTGTCTTATTTCTGGGCTGGCCTAGAATCTCAATTCTCTCTCAATCTAAGCCTCCCACATGTACAAATATTTTAACATAGCCTTCTATCTAGTAATGTATAACCTTGTTTAGTTTTCCGTGAATTTCATCAGGGGGAAACAAATAATACTGCCATATACCTTTCCATCAGTGAAGTATCGACAATTCATTTTTAGAAATTTAACCACTCCTGGCTCATCTTCTTCAGAAGTAGATGATAATACTCTTTCAATGGGTTTTAAGGCCTTTCTTGCTAAGTCAGCATCCTTTTGAAAGCAAAAAAAAAAAAATTCCAGAACTAAATAAAAGCACATTTTAAAAACAAATTTGGATGTATAAAACAAGCCACACAAGTTCCCCTGTATGTACACTATTTCTATTTAACTTAAACATTAAAAAGGCATATCTTCTTTTTCCTTTGAAACTAGCACAAATGTAGTAATAGGCATCTAAATAAAATAGTTTCTTTTAAGAAAAGCATTTATGAATGAACCCACGAAACTAGTTCACTAAACGCCTTCAAAATAACCTGAATGAAAGAATCATGTTAGGCCCCTGATTCAGATTCTCAATAAAAAGGAGTACAAATGATCTATCCACATGAGTGGAAGTTAGCTTCATATTTCTGTATAAAGCATGTATTTTTACCTTTGAGAACTTACCTACAAACAGGCAAGTTTTAGAGAGGGTACATTTTTTTAAACTAATGATAACTTGCCTAACTAGCCCCTTCAAGGCAGAATTTCAGGTGTGTAATCTTGTAAAGGAAAACACTGCATTCTTCAATTTGCAATCAATCTCACAGTGAAAATGTAGTGAATGAAGTGAATAACATACATACAGGCAGCTTATCATATTCTGCATCTGATGATGAGGGAGAGACAGTAGCACCGGGACTGGATGATGATAGCCTTAAGGTACTGGAAGGAAAGTTGGCATCTGGCACAAAAAGAACCTGGGAATGGGAAAGAGGGACTGAGCAGACAAGTAGACAAGCCCCTACCTTGTTTCCAGAGAGGTCACCCTGCGCACACCACCGTGCTTGCTGCATAATGAAGACCTAGTTGGCCTTCATGGAATTCATAAACAGCATGAAGTCCCTCATTTGTAAACAATATCAACAATAGTGCACAGGGTACTGAACATACCTCTAAACAGTGAAGGAGATCACAAAAGAGGAGAATAGGAGAGTGAATACTATTGGCAAGCTATGTGAAGCAATAAGGTCCAAGTGAAGCTTTAAATCAATACGAACCAGATAGGCAGGAGAGAAGAGCCTTTCAGGAATGAGGATGAATACAAGGTTGAAGGTCTGCAGCCTGCAATCCTGGAGGCCACAAATGTTTCTGATTCACAATTTTTGACTTTGGAGTATTTACACAGACTTTACCCACTGAGCACTCCTAATATGGAAATGCTTCAAATGCATCAAACTATTTCAGATGTTACAGCATTTTAGATTTCATATTTTTTGACTTGTAGATTATGCTGCAGATGATAAGCCCGCGACAGATGGGAATAAAGGAGCGAGATGCAGGCACGGTTCTAAATGTAATAACTGTGTCAGGTAAAAAGGGAACAAATCTAGGTTTGCTACTTCTAGCAGGCCTTCAGCCTCAAATTAATAAGGTATTTGGATGATGAACTAGACAAAGTAATAACTATAATAATCCTTTCTCTTCCACTTGTGTCTGGTTTATATAAAACTACTCCTGCAAGTTGTATAAAGTCTCCTTTTGAAAAATATACTAGTTTCCAAAATACTATTAGGATATTGCCTTACAATGTTCTTTTAATTAGACTAATACACTTTTGGCATACATCAAATATTATCTTAAAATGATGTTTAATGTTATAAAAGTGAATTCAGAGTTTTTCATGAAACAATTGATCTCAAACCAATACTGCTTTTTTAGTATCTCCCCAGTTTCCAGTTAAATCTTTAGTTTAACTTTAGTTATTTAAACCCCATTCAAGCAGATTATCAAGCCAATCTCTAGAAAGAATCTCAAATTTTCTGTGACCAGAGCAAACTAATCCATAGCTTTGATTTATAAAATCTATTGAGATGCAAGATATTTACCCACCCAGGTACCAAAATGAAGTATTTAAAAATCCTTGAAAACAAAAAGTTATCTACAGGTTTAAAGTTTTAAAGCCCTTCAACCTATTTACACTTCTCAATTCCTTGTCTTTGCCAGAAATAACAGGAAAAAAATCCAGTATATTTGGGTCTAGAACAATTATTAGCAGTATATAAGTTCTATTAGTTCTTTTAGTACAGAGGCTAAAAAGGATACATGAGAACTTGTTGGCCAACTTCTCATATTAGGAAACTGAGATCCAAAAAGAGAAGTGAGCTTCCATTTCTAGTGGGGATTTCTTTGTTTTGTTTTTTCAATAACCAGCATAGTAAACATTTCAAAATAGTCCTTTGCATGTGTTAGCTACTGGCCTTGTTGGTTCAGTATGAATCAACTATTTTGTTTATTGTCATACTATAATGATCACCCCTCAAAGTATTTTATTAATATAATCTCTAGCTGGATTAGATAAATACTGTGGATCCACCATACCAAATTATAAATAGGCCTAACAATGAAGACATTAACACCTATTTCATGGAGATAAAATGTATACATTTTTGAAAGGTTTTATTTAAGATTTTTCTCTCTAACTATCAAGTAATGAAGTATACTAATTTCTCCTTTTCATGAGACCTTAAGTATGATAAACACTAAGTGGCCAATTTGTGGCACTGCTATCTTCACATGCTATCCTTAAAAGAAATGCACAAGACAGTATCATCAATGGAACCTAAATATGACCAAGGCAGCCATGCACTTCTACGGATGAGACTGGATATTAGCCTTCAGCTAAGTGATTTCAATGACTGAGACATTTAAATTTATGGACTGGATAAAATTTTAGAATAAAAATTCTAAAATGTCTTATTACGTAAAAGCTACTCAAACGTTTTACTCAAAGTGAAGTATTAATTATATTGTTTGTCAATTTCAATCCACTGAACAAATCTGGTACTAAAAACTTACAATAAAACTGGGGTAGTTAGTTTTTGATTGAGACAAGGATGGCATTTTCTTTTCCTAATTTAAAATACAATGATGACTGTAAGTCACTTCAGAGGAGTAGGCTAAACTGTAACTTACAATTCCAAACTGAGTTTTGTAAGAATATCTGTGTCGTAAATAAAAAGAAGTATGACATTACTTCAGAATTGTTCTTACTGCTATAGGAAATACCTTCAATTAAGTTAATAGTAGTGATAATGAACTGTGTTAATCATTTGTGAAGTATTAATCTCTCAACAGTTTATAACTACTAAGAGGATTTTACAATTCTTGGCTCTAAGGGAAATAAAAGATGGAATCAACATACATTCTCACTGATAATAAAACTGTAATGCTAATAGTAAGGCATTAGTAGGCATTTTATATGACAACAAAAGATAAATGCAAAATGTCTAAGGTAATATTAACCAGGAAAGTAGTTACCTGGCCTGGAACAATAGTATGTGTGAAAAGTTTATTCAATTCCACTAATTTGTTTGGAGTGATGTTAAACTTCAGTGCTATGGAGTTTAGTGTGTCCTGACTTCCAGCCTAGAACAATCAAACAAACAAGATTTAGTACATAAAGCAGAAAAATATCCTCTTTCCAGGAAATATTAACCTATCACAATACAAGTGAATGAATAGTTCCATCTACATCACATGTACTATGCAAAAGAGGGAATAAGCTTTTAGTTCTTAATAAAACCATATAAAAGAAGTCTTAAATACAATTCATTTCTGGGCTCCCTCATCTTCAAATTTTACTGTCTGTTAGTAGATGTCTAATTTTCCCTTTGGAACAACTCTAAATAGAAAGGAACAGATATAACACCCTTTCCACCCACAGGGAAACAGAGCTACAATTTTTCTCTCCAATTTTTCTATCCATTTTCCTTCACTTCATTAAATAATCAATGCTGCCCAATGGCTTGTTCTTCAGTGTTCCCTGTGCTCAGAAGTGCAAGACACAGATACTACTGAAGTCATTAACAAGTAAATACAGGAGAGGGCAAGTCCTTCTGAAAGAAATTCAGATTTGCTATCCAACATTGTTCTCTGTATCTAGGTCCTGGTGGCTCATGTCTGTAATCCTTGCTATTCAGAAGACTGAAGATCTGAAGACTGAGGTGAAACTGTGGGACTTTTATCTTCAATAACCAGCAAAAAGCTGTAACTGGAGGTCTGACTAAGTGATAGAGCATTAGTTTTGAGTATAAAAGCCAAGAGAGAGAAAGAGAGAGAGGCTCTGACTTCAAGCCCCAGTACCATAATTTAAAAAATTATGTTCTCTGCCATCAAAATATTAAGTGTCTATGGCCACATTATATTCCATGTGTATACTTCCACTTCCTTCTATACTTGAAGAGAATTAGGAAGAGAGGTAAGTAAGAAGAAACTTCACGGTAAAAAGGCTCAACCCAGGGCTGGGAATATGGCTTTGCGGTAGCGTGTTTGCTTAACATGCATGAAGCCCTGGGTTTTATTCCTCAGTACTACATAAACAGAAAATGCCAGAAGTAGCTCAAGTGGTAGAGTGCTAGCCTTGAGCAAAAGAAGCTCAGGGACAGTGCCCAGGCCCTGAGTTCAAGCCCCAGGACTGGGGGGAAAACACAGACACAAAAAAAACAAAAACCTAAACAACAACAGAAAGCTCAAGTCACATCCATCTTCAGGATGATCTAGAGTCTCACAGGATGGAATGTAGGATGGAAGTCACTGTGAAGAGTAGCATGAGGAGCTCCCATCTCTGGCCCTAAGTTGAAACTATTGGCTGACCCTGTATGCAGAACTGGCTCCAGCATCTAGGCCTTGACTGTGTAGAGATTTGAGGAGATAGATGAAGGAGAATGTAGACTGATTGAAGGTAGAGATATTAGAACAGAATTATAAACCCACTATCCTCAGACTCAAAATGACAACAGCATTTCATTTCTTCTTAGAAGTTAAAGGGACTATTCAGCAACATTATTTCATAGAGAATTAAACAATAAAACATTGATCTATCACTCAGTAGTCACTTTATGCAAAGTCTAAGATAAATAAGATATCCTGGATTCCAGGAGCCCTTGTTATAATGAGAAAGGTAAGTACAGAACACACAGTATGTCGTTCTTGTAATGGATGCATATATACAGCACTCATATTTATTTAACAATCTGGAGCTCTATACCCAAGAAGATGCCAGAGGTATAGTAAGAAAGTAGTCACTTTCTTTTTTTTTTTTTTTTTTTTTATTGATCGTGGAGCTTGAACTCTGGGCTTGGGCACTGTCCCTGCACTCTTCAGCTCAAGGCGAGCGCTCTACCGCTTGAGCCACAGCGCCACTTCCTGTTTTCTAGTGGTTTACTGGAGATAAGAGTCTCATGGACTTTCCTGCCCAGGCTGGCTTTGAACCACGATCCTCAGATCTCAGCCTCCTGAGTAGCTAGGATTACAGGTGTGAGCCACTAATGCCCAGATCAGTAGTTACTTTCATATTAAAGTCATAGTCATCAGTTAGTTTGGAAGCCCTAGCAGAGGAGCAGAGTTACTAGAATACCCTTGAAAGAAAATGTCTTCTCTATTAAGAAAGATCATCTTCCTCAACCCAGCTTCAGATAAGGGAAGTGGACACCTGTCTAGCCAGCCAGAACAATCCACACACTACACACTATTAGACTATTAGTGATCAGTGCAGTGTGTTTGTGTACCAGATCATCCTCCTATCCATCCTTTGAAGTTGTTGGTTAATGAAAGTTTTCCCAGAGAGAAGACATAAAGGGAAAAGAAATGGCTTAGAACAGGTCTTAAAAGTCTTCATTATTTGATGGGTTCACAAGAACAATAGAGCTACCAGGCAAAGTTAAGTCAAGGAGAAGCATTCTGCTTACATGATGTAGTTGTAACAACATTCATAAAATCTTGTTTATACTTACAGTGTATTCCATGGTACCATGGGGCTTCTGAACCACCATCTTCTTCTCTTTTTTGTCATGTGTTTTGTTTTGATTGTCATCTGAAGAATAAATTTTATGTAAATGAACAATTTCATTTTCAGCAAATGAAGACAAAGTCTAATATCAAACGAACAAAATAGTATTAATAGAAAAATGGACTAATGACAAAAACAGAGTAATAATTAAAGCATGACTACCAGAATAAATTATTAATGTTAACTGTAATTCAATAGTATAAACAATGAGTTGATACCATGTCCTTATTAAAATAATAGTTTAAATGTTAACATGCATTAATGAAGTTACAGAAAATATTAATAATCACTATATAAATGATGCATAATTTAAATTTTTTAGCTCAACCTGTTAGAGAAAATATAGCTTGACATATTAATCTAGCTATCAAAAACCATATGAATGGGTTGGAGATGTGGCTCAAGTGATAGAACACCTGCCCTGAGTTCAAACTCCAGAATGGAGAGAGATCAGGAGAGGTGAAAGAAAACCATGGAGATATGCTAGAATGGATAAAAAATTAAGTAACAAGAAGAATATCAAATTGAATTAAAAGTAAAACAAAGGTGCTCCAACTTGAATATGAACAGAAAATTGCAAATTAAAATCACCTAGTAATCTGACAAAATCTGAAAGCTGGGTATTTTAATGCTGATAGTGTGAACTGCTACTAGGAATGCAAAATGATTCAGTCATTCAAGAAGAGAAAATCTATACAGCCTGTGTATCTTTGAGCAGTTTAACTCACCATTACACATCCTCATGAGGATGGTATTCATTTTACACCTAAGTCATTGTCTTGTACAATGTCATCACCATATCCTCTACACCGTGAGGGAGAGATAGACTGTAAGTAAAATATGGTAGCTTTGCTTTGGGAATCCAGGAAACAATTAGAAATAACAAGCTTGTGAGACACAACATCAGTGTAAATCATGAAAAACAGAATGAGATGTGCAAAACAATATTATTTCTGTCTAGCTAAAATTGGCATGAATAAGACAAACCTTTTTAAGGACACAAAAATAAAAGCCTATCACTTTTGGCACAAAACTACGGAATGGGAGGGAAATGGACCTGTGTAGGGGTGAGAATAAAAGGAAGCTAATGAATAAGAAACTAGGAGCTCAGCTTAACCCAGTGAAGACATACCACGATCTGACAAGGGGCACAAAGAGAGGGAAAGGGGGTGGGGGGAAAATTGAGACATAGAGAGACACAGAAAGAGAGGAAATGAAAGATAAGAAGAAACATGAAGGTAGTTCATTTCAGAAAGGATTCATCTGGCTTTTAAATATTGCCTTTACATTACTTAAAAATCAAGAAGAAATGATGAAGAAGCTGCAGCAAGAGTACATTCTAGTCATCTGTTCAGGTCAGATACTTTTACACAACCAAAGAAACCCTGAAAGTTCATTGAGAGTGTCTCTACCTATTGGGAGCCACCTCTAAATTAGGTTAGGAATTGGCCTAATGATAAGTTTTAGATCTCCAGATAAGATTCTACACAATCCGTGTTCCAAAACTCCAACTGGAACATTGTATAGATCTTATAATAGATACAGAAACTGTACAGCCTCGTTCTTGACAGGTAAACAATAAAATCTGAACAGCACTCTTCCTTTCAAGGATCATGATAACGCAGCATTTGTTTACATGGAAGATGGGATACCCCAGGCTGACATTCCCAGACACTTTCTTCCAAAAGTTCTTGTTGGCTTTAATTAAAGGCTGTTCATTTCTTTTGGTATCTCATGGTACTTTCTATGTGTATAGTTGGCCATCTTAAGTTCTATGCTCAGAAAAGCCTTTTTATATAGGTGATTCCTATTGTCAGATACCAAGCCATGTGTCTTTATTCTTATCTGTGGCAGCTGTTGGCCCACACTTTTCCATAAACTATGGAGTTATCTCTGGTGCCAATGGGAAGTGCTACTATAAGCTACTAATTTGTAAGTGTTTAATTATATCCAGGTACCAAAAAAAACCCAGCAAATACAAAACACGTTGTTTCATTTTTCAGGATGATGTTGATAGCAACAGCTCTTCTTAACTGAGCTAAGTACAAAATTAAATTAATTAATTTCCAATGGCACAGATGAATAGGCTAGAAAAATAGAAAACATGGATGTAAATATTGCTTAAAAGCCTTCTCTCTATGGTCTAAGATTTTGACATTGTTGAAGTAAAGACCAAGATGTCCCCATCTCTTATGCTCTTGGGCTGTAACATGAGCCCCAGGACATAAGGTTGAATAAACTTCCCAAAACAGATCAATGAGCCTGACATACTTGATTGTGGGCAATAATTTTCACTGAGATAACAACCCATTGGGCAAATCATCTGCACCTGTCAAACCCACAAACGAGCACTGTGTTTTGCAGTTGACTAAACAGAGAAAACAGAAAGTAATGGCCAGATTCTGAGGATCAAACTTAATTACCTCAGTATCACTGTACAACAAAGTAAACTGTCATACTGCTTCCTAAATCGTTATTACAATGAGCTGTAAAGATGGACAGCTATGTAATTCCATGGCTGAAATCCTTTATGTCTTTTCCAAAATAGGTTCTATAGCACATAAAAAAGCCCTGGAGAGATGTATGGCCCTGAAAGAATTAGAGGCCTGAGCAGTCTCAAGAAGACTGCTTGGCTGCATTTCAAGATGGGGCTCCAAATCCAATCGGGTTGAGGACCCACTACCGACCCTAAAGATACAACTGTCTCCCAATGACATGGAGGTCATCACTTCCAGCCTCTGGCCCTTTATACTTCCTCATCTTCCCATTGCTTTGCAGAACTTAAAAGTAAATGATGTAGAAGACTCGAAGCCAGAGGGGAAAGCTGGCTACTAAAGTGTTGCTCAAAAACTACTCAGAACAAAGCAACTGAGCCTCTCACCTGCCTCATGTATGAAATGAAATCCTGAGAGTTAGTAATTTCCCCAGTCCAATAAGGCACTACTTGAACAAATAAATTGTTCCTAGAGCAATGAAATACTGGTCCTTTAGACTAGCCCATCTTGTTTTGCTAACTCCTGAAATGGGAAATGGAATTGAGAATAGAAACCAAGTGTCTGTAATGATCTCATGTCAGATAGACCTTGGTACCCTGCCCACAAGTTCTACAACTTCCCTTTCCACCCAGAAACCAGCCAAGATCACCCAGAACTCAAAGTTCTTGGCTCTTGAAACTGACCAGATGACATATACACGTTTATTGAAGAAAGATTTTTCTCTCCCAGGCACTGGGCTAAAAATAGATGATATATAAGCAGTATGGTTTCTGGCTATAAAGAAATCCTTTGTAATGGTAAGCTTGAATCTTGGATAAGGATACAACTTCCAAGAATAAGTTGTGAGAGGATATCTGAGGTTTGAGAATAAAAACTAAGAAGGTTGAGCAAGTGAGACCTCACCTCAAAAAAAGTTAAGTGAGAGCTCATCTCAAAAAAGCAAGGCACTAGTAGCTCACACCTGTAATCCTAACTACTCAGGAGGCTGAGATAAGAGGATCTCGGTTCAAAGCCAGCCCAGACAGGAAAGTCTGTGAGACTCTTATCTACAATAAATAACCAGAAAAGCCAGACCTGAAGCTGTGGCTCAAGTGGTAGAGTGCTTTGAAACAAAGTGCATTGAAAACAAAGCTCAGGGATAGTTCCCAGGTCTGAAGAGAGAAGGAGGGGAAGAGAAGGGACATGAGAGGGAGGGAAGGAGAGGGGAGGTACGGAGAGGGGAGAGGGGGGAGAGAGAAAGACAGAGAGAGAGAGAGAGAGAGAGTAGGGATATATCTCAAGTGGTAAAGCATTGTATAGCACTTGCCCTGGATTCAATTACCAGTACTGCAAAAAAAGTCTTAAGTACTAAAAGGAAAGTAATGAAGTTTTGATTATTAGTAGATAAAACTGTCTACCTAACACTACCACACGTAGTTAAAAAATCATAAAATTGTTCAGTAAACTGATGGAAGCTTAGATAAAAGCAGACATAAAATTCTCTCACATAGGAAATCTTACAGGCCTTCCTTTGATTATCATGCAAACTTGGGTAAGTGACTTAGATAAGAGTCTACTAATGTACAAAAATAGAGGGCTGACTGGAATCTCAAAGTATATTTACCACGAAGATTAGGCAAGGCAATTCAGAAGAGTGAAATACAATGAGAGAAGATAAGGGGTTAAGAAGACAAGGATTACCATTAAATGAAATTGGGTGACCTGCTTTCACTATATTTGATGTCGGTATAATTTGTGGAGGAGATGGGGAAAAACAAGTCGTTTAAGGATACAGGTGGACCCGATGCAACTATGAGAAGTACAAGTTGTCATGTCGAAAACGAACTTTACAACTTTGGTCGGGGGGGGGGGGGTTCGGGGGGGCTGGGAAGGGATGTGAAGGGTAAACAAAGGAGGAGGCTGCAATGCTTGATAAGAAATGTACTCATTATCTTGCCCATGTAATTGTAACCCCTCTGTACAGTATGTTCACAAAAAAGAATAATAAAAATTTAAAAAAAAGAAATTGGGTGAACATCTGAAGAAAAATTTATATCACTCTGGAATTCATACAGACAGGTTGGGTGCTGCAGCATGTGCCTGCAGTCCTAACTACTCAGGAGTTGAGGCAAGAGGATCACTTGAGGTCAGAAGTCACCCTGGGAACACAATGAGACTGTTGCTTTTAGAGTAAAAAAAAGTATAATAAAATCTAAAGCCATATGTTTCTCTGAACAAAATATAGGATTATTTACATAGTGAGATAACATTTTCTCCAGGTGATATAAATTTCTCAAAATATTGCCCAGACTGTAAGACACACATATAAAATTAAAATGTTTAATGTTAGTTAGCATCTGAAGAGCCACTTCTAGAAAACCTAGAACGAAAATGAAAAACAAAGGCAGGTCAAGGAAGAATGAACTCATATTTTATCATCCGACACAAATGGGGGTGCTATGTAGTACACATTGCTTCTGTTCTTTCAAGCATGTCACTAACAATGCATTTTCATGCTATTTGATATTACTTAATATTATTACTATTTGA